TTGTTGTTGTTGTTGTTGTTGTTGTTGTTGTTGTTGTTGTTGTTGTTGTTGAACAGCCATCGGATGCTCTGATTCTGGGGAAGATCAAAAATGTGGACTGTGTGCTCCTTGCAAGGTGAGGTGATCTCTGATTTTGGATTTATAAAATGTCTTCTCTGTTGGCGCCCTCTAGTGGAAAGATCTCACAGTTTTATGACGAGTTCGTGTCATATCTAGACATGGGAGACAGCACACCATAATGCCAACAAACGTGAACTACCGGGCCAACGTGTGGGCCCTCAGAGAAGAAGGCTGTACTCATCTGCTGGCCACCACGGCCTGCGGCTCACTGCGAGAGGAGATCCAGCCTGGGGATATCGTCGTCATCGACCAGTTCATTGACCGGTGAGTGCAGCGGAGACACCGACATTCTGACGGCGAACGTGTTTCGTGTGAGCATTTCTGTCTTTATTTTAAATGCCGTTAGCTAAGAGTTGAAGAAAACTTGTTTTTTCCTCGACTTGTCACATTCCTCGATGTGTTTGAACTTGGTGATGTCACTGTAACATAAAATACACAACCCAGCAGACAGGCTGCATATGACTGTTAGCTCTGTCTTAAATTCAGCTTTCGTTAAACGAGGAAGTAAAGAATAAATTCATGTGGATACTGCTGGTCTCTAGCTGTTTTATGAAAGAGACATCTTGATGTTTTGTCTCACTTTGTTTTCCAATCATCTGACTCGGACTCTGGCTTTCTCCCGGCCTGCAGGCCACATTCGGACCAGTAGCTGTCCCCATTTTCCACTGACCGCGTGACGTTAAAGGAATATCAGAAATCAAATAATTTCAGGAATAAATCAGAGACTCTGAGGCAGAGACTTCAGTCTGCAGGTCAGCGTTGTGTCGGAGCTGCACAGAGTGGAGTTCATCCGAGTCTTCCTGTCCTGAAGCACATGGACTGATGCAGAATGTAGGTTTTCATTAAAACGCAGACTTTAGATGTTTTTTATTCACTGAAGTCGGGGACAGCCCAAACCTCAACAAGACCATCTTACAAGTTTTTCAGTGAAGAGGCAGTGAAGTCCAGCTTCCACAGAGGTTAATGAAGTGGAGAACTTCACACACGCATGCGCAGGTTTCTAAGTGTACTAAGAGAGCCTCGGTCACTGAGCCTGTACAGCAGGTGCACAACGTGACTTCAGAGCACCTGGTCAGAGCCAACACAGACTGCAGGACTTCCTCTGGGGTCAGTGCTGCTGGAATGATACTTTCATCACGTCAATCAACGCTGGGGTTTCACATCAAGAACATGCACATTACGCTCAAATCAGTGAATGAAACCTACATTTATAGCTCCAACAAAGTTCAGTCGGCTCATCTGGACGGTTTCTTTTTTTGTTGAGACGTTTCATCCTTCATCCAAAGGACTTCATCAGTCTGTGAAACAACAACAATCTCAGTCCCACAGGCAGCACACCCACATAGTGGACCAACCAGTTTGATGGTGATAAGATGGTTTCTGGGGCCCGCCCTCTCCCCCGTCGACTCCTCTGAGGCAGCCATGCCAAAGTGGTTCAAAACATCAAAGCCCATGCTCAATAATCCAGGTAAAAAAAAATCCAGCAAAGTTCAGTCCGGCCATCTGGACGGTTTCTTTCTTTTTGTTGAGACGTTTCGTTCTTCATGCAAAGGACTTCATTAGTCGGAGGAGCCACAACAAACTCAGTCCCACAAGCAGCTTGCTCACATAGTGAGTTTTGGACTGATGAAGTCCTTTTGGATGAAGGATGAAACGTCTCAACAAAAAAAGAAACCGTCCAGATGACCTGACTGAACTTTGTTGGCTCTTTTACCTGGATTATTGAGCGTGAACTTTGATGTATTTATAGCTCATTATTAATTAATACCTGGCAGGACTGAGTTTTTCCTGTTGGTCCAACCCTCTGAGACAGGCCCAGTACAGGCCCAGTACAGGCCCAGTTCCTTTAGTGGCCCTTTCTCAGCATGGCTGTGAGCTTGTTTAACCGTCTCAGCTGAGGAAACAGAATCCACTGGGGACAGAACTTCTAATGAAGCAGGAAAAGCGACTTCCTAAATGAAAACGTGGCAGCAGTTTACAGAAGGATCTCTGAAGGGACGGAAACCTTTGAGATGTTGTGTCTCAGACTTGTGTGTAGGGAATGTGACAGTTTCTCATCTTCGCTCTAAGCAAAGTGACACCTGAGAGTCGCACACATCATCCAACAGAAAAAATAAATAAATAAAAAAAGTCAGAAAGTGACACCAATTTGTTTGTGACACTGAAGAAAAATGAAGGAAAAACTCCCTCATGAGGAAAACCCTTAGCAGAACCAGGCTCAGGACAAGCGATCATCTGCTTCGACCAGTATATCAACTAGAGAGGAGGTTCTAGTGTTTGTGTAATAAATGAAGCATGCGTTGATCAGCTGAGCACATGCAGCTTTAACATCCACGGAGTACAGCCACGCGCTGAGCTCTGGACGTAAGACACGTCATCGTGCCTGAGAGAAACCGAGCATGGATTCCTGATCGCACTGAACACGATCATCTCTTCTCCACTCCTGGTAACTCGTCTCCGCAGGTCACATTTCTGTGTGCTGCACCAGAATCGACTGTTTGTTGTGGGAAAGAGTGGTTTCTCAGCTGTTTGAGCCTCCAGGCAGATGCTGATCCTTCCGCTTTGAGTATCAGTGGTACCGAGGGTCCAGTTTCACGTCTACTGAGCTGTTTTACTAGGAACACCGGTAACCTCCGAGTTGCTCTGATGTCTGTGTGAAGCAGATGAACTGTGCTGTGACATATTTATCTGAAATGAGGATCTTGTTGGTTGGACTTGTTCTGACTTGTCAGATTGCAGCAGCGTCACTTCGTCTCTTCGTAGCTCTGTGTTTGGTTGTGTTCAAATGTCCTCTTGACTGCCATAGAAGCCATCAGACTTGATAGATGTTCACGTCCTTTAAACGACCTTTACTTTGATTTATAACAAGTTTTAGTTGTAGTGCAGCTCTTTGTTTTGTTGTAACTTTATTTCTGTGCAAGTTGTCTGAATTACTGTTTGGTTTGAAGTTTCAAAAGTATAACGTATAGAAATACTTGTAGTAGCACTGACTTATTTAAACAAATAAAATGCCCTTGTCCTGTTAGGATTAGGTGGAACTCTGTTTTACTTTGAAATTACACAAAGACCACTGCAGGTTTTGAATTGAAGGGAATTCTTTTTTGCAAATCAGTTTTTACATCCAGTAAATTTGAAACTTCCTTTTGTAACTTCATTATTGGATCGTGGCTGGCAGCTGCACACGTCAGGAATATCCTGAAGCATGCTCACGATGCATGCACGTCAGGAATACTTTAAATATTTCATGACTGCAGGGTGTGGGAACCGCTGTCTTCAGCAAGGATTCAGAATCGCTCCTGAAATGCAAGGCCAAGGAGAGGCGGGCATTGTTCGTCTGTCCCCGCGCTGCAGAACGTAAACAGTGGCTTCAGTTTTCTAGGCGATGAGTCAGATGAGGCAGGCCGTTCATGTTCTGCATGTCTGAGATGATTCTGCTCTGACGGTCATCAGAAGTGAAGCCTGAGAGTTTTCTCATCCACAGAAAAGTAGAAACTTTTAACTCTGTCAGAACTCGTTTCACGTTGAAGCACTTTGAAACATTTCAAATAACACATATGGAGGTAAATGCAGAATGCACAAATCTAAAGTATGGATTGTGTTTTCATGCAGTCTGCTTTGTTCTGGGTCCAAACGTTCAGCTCGCCTTCATTCAGAACCATGAAGCTGGAAGACTTCAGGGAACTCCTGGAGTCCTGGCTTCACTGCGATAAATTGTTTGTTTTCCTTTGACTGTCTGCGTTTGGATCAGGTTCTGGTTGTGCTGAGAACCACTGACTCAGCACATCTGCACACAGGAGTGCTGTGGAGGAGAAACCTGAGCTGTGGACGGGCTCCTGTTTGGTTTTATGATGCAGACTCTGTTGATAACCGTTGATTTGTTGCTGCTTGGGCGGTTCATTTGATTGTTTTCTTTGCGTTTGTCACATTTTCGCTCTTTTTAAACGAGTTGAATGAGCATCGTGAGCAGCAGCAGAATGTGTAATTTGCTCTGATTCTAACTTTCCGCCTCTCGTCCCTGAACAGGACCACCAAGAGAGCGGAGACGCTGTACGACGGTCAGCCCAGCAGCCCTCCAGGTGTTAGTCACATCCCCATGGCTGAGCCTTTCTGCAACAGGACTAGAGAGGTTGGTTCAACTAGTGCGTTCAACATTTATAGCATTTAACCCAAGCAGCAGACTGGTTTGATCAGCATACAGCACCAGCAGGTCCTGCCAACACAGCAGCTGGATTTGTAGACCACCCAAAAGAAAACGGAGCCGTCTGAACAAAAAACACGATGGAAGAGAAACGAACACTTTGACTGAACTTTAGGCTGTCCTCGTGGAGTGACATTAAAACACAACCCGAGTCACTTGTCTGCTCAGAAACATTTGTTTAATGCTTGAAGACTTTATAACTGGTCTGATTTTACACGCCCAGTTTGTAGGCAGCGTGCAGCGTTTTCCATCTTCCAGGAAATGAGAAGACTTTTATCAAGTGAACGTCTGTTTGAGCTGAAGGACGCGGACCACGTTTTTAGAATCGTGAAGTAACTCAGAGACGTGGAAACTTTACGTTTGGTTCCTGTTTGCCTCTTTCTTTGTTTGCAACTGGTTCTTCTCTAACGACAGATACATTTCAGAGATTTACAGGAAAAAACATGATTCATGTATGTAAATGAAATTGTGCCGCTCAAGGTGTCTGCATGTTGGAGTAGCTGTTACTTTCATTCTGAGTTATTGCTTTTGAAAACTTTTAATTCCTCTTTTTCTGGATGTAAATGGCGTTTTTCGGATGATCGTTCCCTCTGGTATCAGATGCTGTGCAGCTGGAAGGATTTTTACTGAAACATTTTACTTTTGGACATTTGTTATGAAGCGTAACCATGACAACCAGGTGATTTTTACAACTGGGAGCAGCTGATTAACATCTCAAAGCTCAAATATGATCTCAAATACAGCCCCAAATCCCAAATGAGTTGTAAAGGAGGTGCCGTGGATGCATCTCCGTTTACCTGGCAGAGGTGCTCGAGTACCTGATTGCTGAGATGCTTGGAGCTGGCAGGAAACATGGCTCATGACAACAAGAAGACCAAGATCATCCCTCGACACCTGCAGCTGGCTGTCTGCAATGATGAGGAGCTCAAAAAGCTGCTGAGAGGAGTGGCCATCGCTCAGGGAGGAGTTGTGCCCGACATTCAGGTGGTCCTGCTGCCCAGGAGGACCGAGAGGCCCGCTGGGTCTGGGTGGATGGATCACAATCTGCAGCCAGTTTCTTTAGATCCACTGCGGGAGATCCTGCCCACAGCCATCAGCATCTATAACAACCCTAATGAAACCAGGATGATGAGCTACAACACTTAATTTCTATTTGGGATTAATAAAGTATTTTGAATTGAATTATTTTTTTTTAATTAAACATTGAGCAGCCACCGTGCTGCCAGGGGACTGGTATTTCTTCAGTCAGGCAGCCTGTTGGAGCACAAATATCAAACACAAACTGTTTCCCTCCGTTTGTACAGCACCCATCAGTAACTCTGAGTTCTGAACAGGTTCTGATGGAGGTGGCCAGGAGTCTGGGGATCAGGTGCCACGTCCGAGGGACCATGCTGTCCATCGAGGGACCCCGGTTCTCCTCGCGTGCGGAGAGCCTGATGTTCCGCCAGTGGGGAGCTGACGTCATCAACATGACCACGGTGCCAGAGGTGGTCCTGGCCAAAGAGGCTGGACTGTGCTATGCCAGCATCGCCATGGCAACAGACTACGACTGTTGGAAGGAGCACGAAGAAGCAGTGAGTAATAATTCTGCAAGTGGATTTTTTTAGAGAAATCCTTTGGTACAGCTCCATCGTAACACAAGCAACTGGTTTTCTACGTGGTTCCTACCAAGTGAGGATCTCATGATCCAAATCCAGAAACAAAAGTTTTTTTACTCAAACCTGCAGCACGTAACCACTGAGCTACACCATCGGGCTGTTTGGTGCCTAACCCCAAAACAATGAGCTGTTAGGAGAAGCTTAACTAACTAACGGTCTAATGAGACACTTTTTAAATTATAAATTAGTCTTAAATCACTTTGTTCCATAAAGCAGTGGCTCTAAAAATTACTGCTGCGTGTCTAAACTAAAACGATGGTTAAAAATCTATTAAAACTCTTAAACGCTCCTAAATTAAATCAGTAATGCGTCCACACAAGAAAGTGTTGCCACAGAGTAATGTAGAGTCAGAGGAAGGTTTAAACGAATGAAGCGCAGGAAGCACGTGCACTCAGCCTTTAATAAAAAGCCTATAATCAATAAGATGTTTACATCAGAGGTTATGAACAGGTTTCAGGAAGTCGCAGGTTTGGCAGGAAGTCTAACGTGTGATGCTCAAAACCAAACCTTACTGATAACATGGTTTGCTGTTGTCTGCTGTGCTGAGCAACAAAGTGGTCATTTGACCGTTAGAGGACTGTGATGGCTGCGGCAGCAAAGCTGGATTAGATTTTCCAACACCTGAAGGCAACGATCACCGAGACTGCCCTCACGTGCACACGTTTACATGCCACGTTGCATTGTTGGACTGACAGAAGCTTTCTCCTCGTCGCTCCGTCGGCGGACGCAGGAGCTCTGGTTACTGCAGCTGATGTAGCTGTGTGTGGGTGAAGCTCGGCTGATTTGTCACTGATCCAGCTTCACTCAACTGCACTTCTGAGTTCCTGCAGCTGACCTCTTCCCCCTCCTGTTGCACACTGTTCACCACATCCTTCCGCCTGCACCCCCACCCCCCGCTCCCATTCACTCCCACCCAGCCTCAAATAACCTAGCCTCTCCCTGCCCCCCTCCCCTTCCTCCCAAACACCACACACCCCCAGACGTTTTTAGGCTTGTAGCCTAAGATCCGTCCAGAGGAGGTTGAGTCACCCTGAGTCATCAGCTTCACTGTCTTCGTGCCAACAGACGGCACAAAAACACAGCGTGTTCATCGGACACATAAAGCAGGAAGGTCACAAGATGGACACGGCACCATAGACCCGTCTGTTCACTTTAATATCATTTCTTCTTCCAGCTGCTCCCCGCCTCAGGGGGCACCACAGTGAACTAACTCACATTAAGGTTTGGTGATTGTTTTTACGCCGGATGTCCTTCCTGACACAACCGCAGACCACCGAGCTACCACAACCCTCTGTGTGGAGCAGAGAGCTGACGTCTGGGGTGCAGCTGGGGGTTAAGAGCCTTGCTTAAGGGCCCAGAGTGGGGCAAGTCAGGGTGGAGGCAGGTGTGGGTGCTTCACCTTTACCACCTAAATTTTGTTGTAATGGCCCAGGGCTTTGAACCAGCAACCTCCCGATCACAGACTCTAACCTCTGCACCACTACTCCCCCGTACACTTAAATATGTTTACGTGTTTTCTACATCCAAACGTACTTTTGCTCTTGGCTCTATGACTATAAGGACAGACTATGGACGAGCCTGTTTCTGTCCTGGGGGGCGGTGGGTGGTGGTGGTGGTGGTGGTGGGGGGGGGGGGCAGGCACATGTTTCAATCCTCTACCTGCGAGTCATTTTGAGTCAGGTGACGATAAGACTCGTGACAACAGAACAGTTTCTGTGAATGAGTCAACTTCACGGTTGCTTCCTCGTGTGTCGTCACCTGTGGACCGCTGCAACTTGCACATAATCTGTTTCAGAACCAGCAGCGGCGGCCATGACTCTTCTTCCTGTTCAGCTCTGCAGAAGATATGAGAATTTCAAAAACATTCAAAAGCCGGCTGCGCCACGTCTTCACTAAACCAAAGGAATACTTGAACCATATTTTCATTTGAATCCATGATGGTTGTGACAGATTCAGTTAAGTCTGGTCTCTGGTTCTTTTCAGGTCTGCGTGGACAACGTTCTGAAGACGATGAAGGAGAACGCCAACAAGGCCAGCAGCATCCTGCTCACTGCCATCCCACAGATCAGTCAGATGGACTGGACCCACACCATCAAGAGCCTGAAGGTAAGCCTGCAGACGTTTTAGCTCCAGAACATTTTAGAGATGGGACGTCCACGTGTCAATCAGAACGGCTCCTCAGAAAGATCTAACCTGTCGCTCCAGGACCACTGGACCCATTCTGCTTCTGAAAATATGAAATGTGATCATCCATAATGTTCTCAAACACCTGTTGGCAACACACACTACTGTGCTTTAAGAAAACAAAAGAGGAAACTTTAATGGTTTTTTTTGGGGGGGGGCTGTATTTGTCGTTTGCACCAAGTTTGAATTGAACTAAAATGAATAATTCTTTAATTAACACTTTATTAAAAATGCGACGGACACGTTTGCTTTCTGTCCTTACTAAATCAAACACACTTCCTTCAATAAATGTCGATAAAGGGAAATCAATAAAAATATGTTCTGTGTTTGTTTCAGTCCATGGCTCAGTCTTCAGTGATGCTCCCAAAACACTGAAGGACAAAACGACCAAACGCCCACATCCAGATCCAGCTCCGAGCACAGAACCGGACTCAGCACTGACTCACAGGAAGGCGCCGAGGGTTCTGTCCTGGTTCTGATGCACTCCCTTTCTCTTCAGCAGGTTTCATCATCCTGTCACGTTTTTAACGAGGAGTCCAGACGCTATGTTACCAACTGTTTGTTCCCGTGTGTTCTGCCCATATTTGGTCGTTTTACTCCAGCAGGAAGCAGAACTGCTCATTTATTCTAGATTACAGCCTTAAAGGAAACCGTTGAGAGCTTAATCTGTCGTCTTCAGCGTGTTTGCTGGACCGCAGGTTTTGAAGGATTGAAGTGATTGAAGCCACGTTGTTCTGGAAATGTTTCTCACTTTTTATATTTTATGATTAAAAAAACAACTTGAGCTCTGTTTGCTCCTCACTGTTACCCAGCCTGCGTTAGATCAGACCGGCTGCAACCGTCCAGTTAGACCCTGAGTCCTTCACAGCTGCATGGCTTGAGTTCACTCTGAACATGTCCATATAACGCCACATGAAGCATGGAGCTCCATTCTTTACCTTCTTGTTTCTTTGTGCTCGTGTCGGCACGACGCTGCCGTCATCACCGAGCTGCTGGTGAACATGCTCAGCTCACGCCTGCCTACAGACTGATTTAAGCTGCATAAATAAATTAAGTTTGATGAACCGTCTGATGCCGCGGTTGGTTTTACTCTGTTTTCAGTTATTAATTAATAATAGGTGAGTCCTGTAGAGCGGACCTCGTGCAGCTCAGCTTTTGAGGAGCTTGTGTTGTGAATGAAGTCCTGAAATCAAGTAAAAATAAACCCTCCAGGCTTGTTTCGATGCCTTCAGTGGAGATAAACGGGCCTAACGGGTCAATTCTTTTTGCACATTTAACATTATTGTGAGCCTTTATGTTTTTAACACTGTTCATCTCTTAAAACAGACAATGTGGATAAATGTAAAATGATCTGTTCCATCCATCCATTTTCTTTTACCTGCTTCTTCCTTTTTGGGTCACGGGGGTCACTGGGGCTCATGTCCAGAAATCACTGTGTGAGAGGTGGGGTACACCCTGGACAGGTCTCCAGTCTATTAGAGGGACACCTGAACAGGTCTCCAGTCTATTAGAGGGACACCTGAACAGGTCTCCAGTCCGTCACAGGGACACGGAGACAAATGAGACAAACAACCATTCACCCTCACACACCTATAGGGACAATTTAGTTACCAATTAACCGAACATACATGTTTTTGGGCTGTGGGAGAAAATCCACACATGTACGGAGAGAACATGCAAACTCCACCCAGAAAGGTCCTGGGCTGGGATTTGAACCAGCGTCCTTCTTGCTGAGAGGTGGCGGCAGTTCTACCAACTCCGCCACCATGCTGAAATAAATGTAGACTCTCACCAAAGATGCTTTTTTTATGTTTTAAATTTGATTTATTTCACGTTCAAATTCAGTTCAGTTTATTTCTATAGTGCCAAGTTACAACAGAAGTCATTTCAGAACACTGACCAGAAACATTCATATTTATAAAAAAAACAAGTTAATAATTTAAGTGACCAACTTAAGTCACAATAATATTTATCTATTTATTTATATTAATTATTTATTCAGCATTTTACTTCTGTATTTTCTTTGTTCAAAATTTTAAAGTGCACAAAATGTGATTTAAATATCGAATATTTAAGAAGAATTGAAAAATTAAGCTAATTTAAAACGTTAAGTTATTTTGGTTAAAAATGTGACAGGTTAAATAAAATATCCACTTTTACAATTATAAAAACTGAAACGTTCCTGCGTTTGTTTTAATCCACACAGCTGGAGTCTTGCAGGTTCGGGTTCGGTCAGTGTCATTCGGAACCAGCTCGGTTGAAGAAAAAAACAAAACTTTAGTCTCAAGTTTTGAGGGCCTCCAGGAAAGCAGCGACCCTCGAGTGTCCATTCTGCCGGGCCACGTCAGCCGGCAGACGGCCGGTTCGGTCCCGGGCCCGCGGCTCGGCCCGAGCCTCCACCAGGAGCCGAACCGTGTCCAAGAATCCCGCCCGGGCCGCGTCGTGCAGCGGGGTGGATCCGGTGCTGCAGTCCGCCAGGTTCGGGTCCGCTCCGTGCTGCAGGAGGAGGCGGGCGACCCGGGAGCTGCCCATCATCATCACCTGGACCGGACCATCAGGGTCAGCCCGGTTCGGACGGCACAGCAGGACAGATTAATAATTTTATTATTTGACATTTAAACAGTTTGATGACAGACAGGTTTAAAAATAATATTTTGTAAGAACAGCTCAGATTAATCAACACAGAGCAACACATTAACAGCTATGAAAAGAACAAAATGGAATCAGACTTTAAAAACACATTTAAGTTGAGTTTTTTCATCTCAGGACTCAAAATTTAACATTTACAACACTTTCCCTTCGAATAACTAATTTTACATCATAAAAAAATGTTCACACCAGAAATAACCAATTTTCAGCATAAAAAATAATTTTATACCATTAAATATATATATATATATATATACCATTAAAAAATAAAAGGAATTAAAAACTAATTAAACATTTCGCACCAGAAATAACTCATTTTACACCATAAAAACTAACTACACCATAAAAAAAAATTTTATACCATAAAAAATTAAAAGGAATTAAAAACTAATTTTACACCATAAAAAACATTTTGCACCAGAAATAACTAATTTTACACCAAAAACTAATTTTACACCATAAAAACTAATTTTACAACATAAAAAAACTAATTTTACACCATAAAAACTAATTTTACAACATAAAAAAACCTAATTTTACACCATAAAAACTAATTTTACACCATAAAAACTAATTTTACACCATAAAAAATAATTTTACACCATAAAAACTAATTTTACACCATAAAAACCAATTTTACACCATAAAAACTAATTTTACACCATAAAAAAAAACTAATTTTACACCATAAAAACTAATTTTACACCATAAAAACTAATTTTACACCATTAAAAAAAACTAATTTTATACCATTAAAAAAAACAAGGAATTAAAAATAAACTTTACACCATTAAAACTAATTTTACGTCATAAAAAATAATTTGCACCATAAAAAGTAATTTGACATAATTAAACAAACGGTTTTCCCACCATCTGATAATAATAATAAATCTTGTAAATGTGGCACATGACACGCGCGTGTGACGCAGAACTCGATCATGTCCATGTAAACATTGTAAACTTCCGGACTTCAGAGTCGCTTCTGTCTAACTGTCAGTCTGCTGTCACAGCTGATCCGGGATCAGCTGACAGGGTAAACATTCAACACCGACCTGCAGGGCCGTCCGTCCGAACCGGTTCTGCCCGTTCACCTCCGCTCCTCTCTTCAGGAGAACCTCCACTTCGGCCGAGTCTCCCCTCGCTGCGGAGGAGGACAGGCGGTCCTGGAGGGACAGGTGGTCCTGGAGGGACAGGTGGTCCTGGTGGGACATGAAGTCTCGGACCCGCCGCGGGCTGCTTCCAAACAAACGTCTGGGCTGATAAATGTAAAGTTAACGCAGCTTTCCTCTTTCTATTTAGTAAAAAAAAAAATCTCTTAATTTATTTGGAGTGGCGGTGCTGCTGGTTTCAGGTCGGTTCCGAGCCGTGAATCTGTTCTGGACCGGGTCAGAGCGCCTTGTCTGCCCTGCTGGTTGTGTCTGGGCTTGTTGCAGTAATGAATGGGTGACGTCATCGGCTGAGGCTAAAGCGGTGCGTGCGCATGCACAGAGGAGCGTTTTGTTCTCCGCTGCTGATGCCATGAAGGAGCTCAGCAGGATCTGCGCTGAGTGCACGAGACCTTTGGATCAACAGTTCAGTCTTCCACCCTCCTCCTGTTGTGCATTTACAGCTGACACATTGATCCGTGCGCGTGACACAAAGAAACTAATGAGAATAATAGGACAATGACCAGTATGGGATTTTTATGGGCCTATTTATTGGAGTCTGCTGGATGTAAAATGTTTACTAGTAAAGTTCATTTGTACATTGATATTTTTCACAATGCTTAGTACAGCCTTAAAACATGTTTTGTCTAATAGTCAAGTCAACTTTATTTATAAAGCACATTTATAACAGCAGCTGTTACCAAAGTGCTTAATAATAAAAAAACAATGGGGGTACTGTAATTTAATGGGGAAAAATAATGATAGTACCAAAAATTAATTAAAAGCATCTAAAGAAAAAAACATAATTTACAGAACAATAAATCAAATCACACTGTGTTAAAAACCAGAGAAAACCGATGAGTTTTGAGCAGAGATTTAAAAACAGGGAGTGAAGTGGTCTGTCTAATGTTGGGGGGCTGCTTGTTCCAAAGTTTGGGGCCCACGACTGAAAAAGTCCCATCTCCTCTGAGCTTCAACCTGGTTTTTGGAACAGCCAAAAGCAGCTGATCAGATGATCTCAGGGCCCGAGAAGGAACATATGGTTCCAGTAGCTCAGAGAGATGAGGGTGCAAGGTCATTTATGCACTTAAAGGTTAGCAGGATAATTTTAAAATCAATTCTGGTGCATGTACAGGGAGCCAGTGAAGGGAGGACAAAACTGGTGTAATAAGATCAAACCTACCTGTTAATAGCCGAGCTGCAGCATTTTGGACGAGCTGGAGATGTGAAATGGAGACCTGACTGACCCCAACATAGAGTGCGTTACAGTAGTCTAGTCCGGTAGTAATTAAGGCATGGACTAGATTTTCAAGGTCAAGCTAGCTATCTGCCTTAACTGGAAGAAGCTTTTCTGCAGAACAGAGTTAATTTGTTTATTAAACTTAAAGTCAGAGTCTAAAACCATCCCAACATTAACAGACTGCTTAAGACATGGCTGAAGGGAGTCCAGGTTTACAGGATCTGAGACAGCAGTAGAGCTAGGGCTAAACACAATGACTTCAGTCTTCTGATCATTAAACTTAAAAAAAATTGAAGCCATCCATGCCTTGATGTCATCAAGACATTGTAACAGAGGATGAATCGAGCAAGAGCTATTAGATTTTAAGGGCAGATAAATCTGACAATCATCAGCATATAGCAGTGAAAAGAAAGACCATGTTTCCTCGGGACAGACCCCAAAGGGAGCAGATAAAGTGAAAGCAGAAGGGGGTCCAAGAATCAAGCCCTGAGGGACCCCACAGGAAAGAGGCACTGAAGCACACAGTGGGGACACAGGCAGGAACCATCCATCCCTGGTTTTCACTGACTCTTCCTTTCAAGACCACTGAGAGCTGCTGTCTTACCTGGACAGGTCTCCAGTCCATCACTGGGACACCTGGACAGGTCTCCAGTCCATCAACCAGAGTATCTGGGAAAAA